TTTTTGTTTTTCTGGTTGTGGGTGGGGGGAGGAAGGGGCTGCAAATGTTTGAAAGGGGGGGGGGGGGGAAAGATGGAGACAGATTGAGGGGAGGGGAAAAGGAGGGCAAAACTGAGGGGAGAACAAAAGAAAGGGGGGAAGGAGAAGATGACGATGGAGAAAGAGGAGATGGAGAGCAGGGTGGGAGGGTTGAAGATGAGAGAGATGGACAGAGATGAGGAGCGCAATAGGTAAAAAGAGATAAAGGAGAGCCGGACTGATCTGTCCCCCCCCCCCCCTTTGTTATTCGGCGGGCAAACTGACGGCGGAGAGCGTACGTGCAGCTTTATCTCCACATGCACGGGTCTGACAGGTGGGGTGAACGTGTGATTACCCCACCAGAGGACAGGGCACCATCGGAGGGATGCACCAGCAGCATCACAGGGATGCTGCTGGTGCACACATGCAAGCGTCTTGCATCCGCACTTTGCGTCAGACATGCTCTGACTATTAAGTCCAAATATATGAGCCTTCTCTTGTTTCCCTTCTCCATTACACTGAACAGATTTGTCATGACCCTGTCAGAGAATGTGAGAGAAGTAAGCAGTGTTATGGCTATGAGAGAGCATGTATCATTTTCATCGTCAAACCAGCATCAGTGATGATGATTAAAAAAAAATAAAAAATAGTAACTCATATACAGTTGGGATTATAAGTTTACATACCCTGGGGGAAATTTCTGACTTTTTTGGTCCGTTTTCCAGAGAATGTAAATGATTACAAAAAAACTTATCCTTCCCTTATGGTTAATGGTATAAATAACATGCATGATAAATTTAAGGCTTAATGGTTTTGGATTAAGCACCTAATTTTCCTTTGGTGGATAAAAAGCTCCTAGTTTCTGTAAATTTGTACATGTGAAATGTGACGTTTGAGCCCATATAGCAGATCAATCACACCGAGATGAGAAGGCTGAGAATGTTCTCCAGGTTGTTCTTGTCTGGTGGTTCGGGTCTAAACCATCAGGTCACACCCCATTTATAGGTTTGAAGAAGATCACATGAAAGATTAGATTTTTGGAAAAACCAAAGAACTTCTTGCAGGGTGTAGAAAAGAGAGTAAAAAAATGATCTTTTGTTATAATTTTCTCCCAAGAACAGAGCAGTAATTCTTGAACTAAACTCTCCCAGCAGTAGAACCTGCTGGGAATGAGAAATCCAATGTTTGGAGCCTGTATGAATTAAAAATATGCTGCTGCCACAAGGGAGGATTAAATAATTCACAACTTTAGAAAAAAATAAATAACTACAGCAGATCTAAGGATCTGAGAGTAAAATATTTCAAAACAACATCAGTATAAGCTAAACCTTGAGCCAACAGACCTGAGCTGACGTCTTCGACAATAAAAGAGCTGCTGCAACCCTGAGATGTTCAACTGCAGATTATTGTTGGTCCAATAAGCTCCTAATGCCAACTTATTTGGTGACACTCCGCTGCTCTAGTGAACATCGGGAGATTATTTTTAATAAGCAGGCAAAGTTCAACTGTTCAGACGTTTCCAATTGTTGTGGCCGACTCTTGTCTGTAAGTCATGAAACAGAAAATACAAATGCATCAGCATCAGCATATTTTAGTTATTGTCACAACAACAACAAAAAAAGGGGGGAACCATTAAAAATATGTAATGGTTTTTGAGGTTGGTTGTTTGAGGCACGCTGAAAGAAAAAAATCCTCATTAGT